GCGGATCCGCAGGCGACCGCCGCATCCAAGTCACCACCGGGCTCCGGGTTTCTGGCGGCTCGCAAGGTAAGCAGAGCGCCACAGCGAAGTAGACTTTGAGGGGTTTCTGGCAGCAGAGAGTCCCCTCCGCCCCCCAGCCGGGACCGCTAGTGGCGTCCTCGCGCCTGGCTGCGCACCCGGGAGCTCGGCTCTGTGCCCATGGGAGACGGGAGCGCGGAGGGGCTGCTGCCACTCGGCCGCGGGGCCCGGCCCTGGGACAGACCGGTCGCTGTGCGGGGAATGTCGGAGGGGCTCAGGATAGCGACTCCTCAGATAATCTCCACCCAGAGCCCGGGGTAGTGCTTGCGGGGAGTCGGGGACCGCCACGGTGGGATCTCTGCTCAGCCTCGGTCTTCAGACACTTCCTGGCCCGTTGCCCTGGGGCTAGCGGGTCAAATTTGTCATACCGTTTTCTAGTCTCAGGCATCCCGAGGCACAGGAAAAAAATTCTTCCGAGAGGTGGTTTCCCTGGCCAAGGTAGAAGCAGAGACTAGTTCTTGATACAGCGCCCCTTGTATTTATTCAGCATTTATTGGGCTCCTATTGTGTGCCAGACACTGTGCTAAGTAAGCCCTAGCCACACGAAGAGGAGCCCTGGAGGAGCTCCTGGAGATAAGAAGGACAACAGGAGGAACAATTATAGTGCAGTGTAATACAGGGGAGGCCAAGTGGAGAAGAGGAACATGAAGAAGCCAAGAGGGCTTCGGAGAGGAGGTGACTATTGCGTGGGCACTAGAGGAGTAGGAGGGTTTGCCAGACTGAGAGCTGTGTGTTGGGGGTGGGGAAGGCTTGATGGGATAGCAGAAATTCTATATAGATTTTCTTGTGCAAAGGTAAAGAAACGGAAAAAGTGCAGTATCCTGAATTAAGAGCATCAGATAATCCTACATCAGATAATCAAGTAAGTCCGAGGCTCATTGTGAGGAGGAAATGATCTGTCAAAACGGCAGGGGGCTAAAACATGCACAGATCTTAAAGTACAGCCTTAGACTATTTAGAATTTTGCCCTGGGATGAAGGAAGGCAGTGGAAGAATTCGGATCAGTAATCAAGTCACTCTAGCAGCTCTGTGGAAAATGGATGAAGACTGAAGCAATAGAAAGCTGTTAAGTTGCAGTTATTATTTCAGATGTGGCTCCAAATACTCTGGACCCTTAAGGCAACTGCATCTGCCCACAAGCCCCACTTCCCGTCTTCTGGGTATGGATTCATTCAAGTGGGGAGGTGTTGCCCATGTGACGCCTGTTTCTGCAACCTGCAGGTCATTTTTGTATTATTTCTGGAGGCTTTGACCTCGACCTCATCATCAGTGATTACCCCTGGAGGATTGTGATCTGCTGGCCCCTCTCCCTCTGCTCCCCCTTCTGTCTCACAGCAATACAACCTCAGCTATTAGAGGCTGTAGTGAAGAGCAAAGTCTTGCTGGGGAGTCAGACCAGGAAGTCACTTTAGCTATGTGCCTTGGGGACATTATCAACCTTTCTGAACCTCAGTTTTCTGATTTAAAAGGTCATCATCATATCCACTTGCCATAGGTCAGGTTCCTTGGAAAAAGATTCAGAGACATTTTTGTGTAGGAGGATTCTGGAGAGTGGTCTCACTCTCTAAAGGGGGAGGGGGGAGGGAAGCAGGACTGGGCAGAGGGAGAAGTTGATTTGTGATCAGTGCAAGAGAGGCCTCAGTTGATCCCCTGAGACATGTGGCCAGGCCTTTGAAGCCCAATGTTGACCATTTAGTGGGTGCAAGCCGTCCCCACGGAGGGAGCATAACTGATGTCTCTTACAGTTACTGAAGAGTGACTTAGCTGTCAACTGTGAGCAGCCCACACTCCCTGCAGCTGGGCATGGGGGAGTAAGGGGTGTTTGCACCACAGCAGCCACCTCACAGGATGGGAAGTAAATGAGATAACTTGAGTAAATGAGTGCAGAGCAGGCATTTAAAAAGTGTTTGGTTTTTTGGTTTTTGTTTTTTTTGCCTTTAAACTTCTTGACTGAATCTGAAAATGGACTTTGGAGTTTGAGTTGAGTAAATCAGCTTTTTGTGAGGAAAGAACCTTTAATAATAATAGCCATGATCACTACTCTTCCCTTTTTCAAGTGTCTATTATGTCTGCATTTTTTTCCTAGTTATTCGGTAATTCTCCGAGTTAGGTACTTTTATTCTCATTTTACAGTCAGCCCGGTTTTCCAAAACCCAACAAAATAGGTGTCCTTTTGCCATAAAATAATAACAATAACAACAGCAATCAAAATGATATGATTTGTTATGCTCCCTAAAATGATTTCATCGGTAAATTAATTAATTAAGTCATTTATTTTTAATCCAGTTATTAATTTAATCAGTGGGTATTGAATGCCTCCTAAATGGAGGGTGCTGTCCTAGGTGCTGGGAATACAGAGCAATCTATTAGAGGAGACAGAGAAAGACATTAAATGCTTTGCTTCTTCAAAAGAAAACAATGAAGGATAGAATTTCACATTGCATAGCCAGGATGTGATAAAGAGTAATAGACTCTTTTCCCAACCGACTCTTTCTTGTTCTTCAGTTTCAATATAACCTCCTCAGAAAAGCCTTTTGGACTAGCCTGTGTAAAGCAGGTCCCCTCCCTTTTACTCACTCTTCCTAGCACTTGTCCATTCATTTTATTGACCTTTCTATTGTTGGTCCTCCCCACTAGACTGAAGGCTCCAGGAGTCATACATTGCTTTATCTCAAGAGACCAACACTACGTTTTGCACATGTTTCCTGAATAAGTGAAATGAATGAAGAGTGAATCTACTTAACAGAGTGGCCAGGAAAGAGTAGGCTGAGGAGTGATAGTCAAACTAAGATCTGAGGGATGAGAAAGATCCAGCAACGTCAAGACTAAGAGGCAGTGGAAACTGCTTGTTCAAGGGCCATGAGATGGAGGAATGGAGCTCAACGTCATTGGGGAGCAGCATGAGATGGGTTTGGGAAAGTTGATGATGCCTCGGGAGGCCATGTTGAACTTGGATTTTACTTAAAGTACAATAAAAAGTCGTTGAAGGATTTTAAGCTTAGTAATGACCTGACGTCATAGTATATATTTTTTTGTTTGTTGTCTGTTGTGCTTCTAGGAGGTAAGCTCCATGAAGAAAAGTGCTCAGTAAATATTTCTGAAGAGAAAGGATGATCTGATTTATGCAGGTACTGGTGAAAAATGGAGTAGAGAAAAGAATGGGATCTTGTCACAAATTAGGGGTTAGGTGAGAGAGATGTGGGTCCTGACTACAGGATAGCAATTATATTGGGGGAAAGTAGAAGGATTGGAGTGATATTAGGGGTGCCAAAAGGACTTGATACATTAGATATGGGGAATACAGTAAATGGAGGATCAAGGATGACCCCCAGGTTTATGGTTTAAGATTAGGATGCCAAATGTCCATCAACAGATATATGGATAAACAAAACGTGGTACATACAATGGAATATTACTCAGACATAAAAAAGAATAAAGTGCTGATACATGGTACAAAGTGAATGGACCTTAAAAATATTCTAAGTGAAAGAAGCCGGACACAAAAGATCACATATTATATGATTCCATTTATATGAAATATCCAGAATAGATAAATCCATAGAGGTAGAAAACAGATCGATGTTTTGTGTTTGCCAGGGGCTTGAGGGGAAGAAGGATAAATGGGGTATGACGACTTAAAGGATAATTGGTTTCCTTTTGGGGTGATGAAAATGTTTTGAAACTAGATAGATGTGGCAGTTGCATAACATTATGAATGTACTAAACGTCACTAACTGCACACTTTAAAATGGTTAATTTTATGTTATATGAATTTCACCTCAATTATAAAAAAAAGATTGGGTGAATGGGAGCACCAATCATAGAGTAGAGAAGACTGGGTGAAGAGCATATTGGTGTTAGGAGAGAAAATTCAAATGCTCTCTTGAAGATACCCAAGGTATCCACATGGCGCCTAGTGGGGGAAGGCTGGGCTGGAGATACAAATATGGTAGTTGTCAGTACTCAGCCAACAAAATGGATGAGATTTAGGGAGAGTGTAGAGATGCACATCTGAGCCTGGATCGTCCTTTAATTTGAACCTCATACTACCTATGAGGAAGTGCTGTTGTCCTCCTTTTCAGATGAGGAACCAAGGCCCCCCAAAATGAACTAGCCCAAGGTCAGATAATTTACTCTTGTAGGTTTCCTGGCTTCCAGTCCTTTGTCTTTACTATCTTAGCGTGATGCTATTTAGAACTCCAGCAAAGACCTTCCCCTCCTTCCTAGTCTCCCTCCCTCTTTTCCACAATCCTCTTTGAGTTACTCACCTGTGGCAGGCACTGGGCTAGGTACATGTTGGTGAAGAAGATAGAAATGGCTCTAACTTTGTGGAGTTTACTGGGTAAACAAGCAGCTGCAGCCTACTGATATAGGGGACCTTAGGATTCTGGATGAGGGGCATCTACACTAGGTTTGAGGGTGGAACGAGGCTTCTTAGAGCAAGTGACAAAGCTCGACTGAGATCTGCAGCAGAAACAGAAAGATTGGACCTAAGAAAGAGAATGATTCTCTGCAGGGTTCATGATCCCTGAACACCTCCTGTGGGAATCCATCCTTCTCTTCATTCCCCGATTCTTCACAGGTCACTGGCATTTTCCAACTCATCAGGAGAGTCTATATTTTCTATAACCTTGAGGCAATAAGTAGACAAATGGCTTGGTTTGATTTCAAGTGGGAGCTTCAAAGGTGGAGCCAGGTAGTCTGCATACAGCCTGGCTTTCAAGGCCAGGCTTCAATTCTTGAGCAAGTGACTTATTTTCTCTGAACCTTACTTTTTATACCTGTGAAATGGAGTCAGTAACATCCACTGCTCAGTGTAGGAAATAAATGAGATGATGCAGTAAAGTACTGGGCACATAATAAATGCTCAGAAAAATGTTATTTCATTTATCTTTTGGAGAAGAAGAGTTTCTGAATAGACCAGTGGTCTCCACACTGTGTACACTATTTAAAATACAGGTATCCATGCTCCATCTGAAGGATCTGAT